AATCCTGGTCAGAGCCAAAACCAACGCGCAACTAGAAGACAAAGCTAAATACGCCACTGAAAGCGTCATAAACACCCTCGAAGAGATGCACCTAAAAGTAGCCACAAAGAAGACCCAATACAAGACAGAACTCGACAAGATGGCGGCGGCGTCTGCATTTCTGCTGCTACAGAAATAAATGGACAAAAAGTAGTAGTAAATTTGAATACAAACTTACTCAATCCAAAGTACAATAGATGCAATCTTTCTGAATATAAAAATGCATCTACAGACCAGGCCGAGGAAACATGGAGGAAAATTCACATCCAATATCTACAATCCAAAAAATATTTGAAGAAAACTCTGACGTGCTTGTTTGTGGAGACTTCAACTACCCCAAAATATGCTGGAAAACTCTTAAACTGACAAAGCCATGTCAAATAGCAAACGAGTCTCTAACAAAATATAAGGAATGGAGATGTCGACAAATAGTCACCTTCAAGACAAGACATAGAAACAATCAAAGCTCTTTACTAGATCTATTTTTAACAAGTGACAAAAAAATGATAACACAAATAGAACCCAGGTCACCATTAGGTAAGAGTGATCACATTACGATAGCAGCCACCGCCCAAATAACGCTTAAAATAAATTAAACACAAAAAATAAAAAAAACGCAACTTTAAGATTGAAAAATATGACGTCATAAACGAATATATAGAACTACTATCAACAGACATGAATCCAACAATCAAAGAATACCAACTCTTCGAAAGCACTCTTACCTCAACAATTGAACATTTCTTTCCAGAAAAAACATGCCGAACTAACCATCGAAAACCATGGCTCAATCAGAAAATCTTTAAAGAAATGGACAAAAAGCGAAAACTATGGGACAAGTACATATGTTAAAAATAAAACCGACGAGGGCTACGGCAGATACAGAATACAAAATAACAAACTAAAAAATTAATCTCTGAAGCAAAGAAAAGCTATGAAGAAAATCTTCTGGAACAAAATGACAAACAGCCAGGTTCATGATTTAATCTTACAAGATCCAATAAGTAATGGCCTTATGAAAGACTCAAAGACCACCGCAAACACTTTTGCAAACCATTTTCATTCCATCTACACCAGAAAAAACCTTACAAACATGCCAACACTGCCCATAGAGACAATGAACAATAATCAACTCACTGTCATTAACATAACAACAGAAAAAGTCACCACAGCTTTAAATAGCCTAAAAACCTATTCAAGTCCAGGCCCAGCCCAAATATACCAAGATTCAATAGACAATGGTACCATACCAGAAATCTGGAAAAAAGCTATAGTGATACCAATCTACAAGTGGTGACAAAAACGACCCGTCCAATTATAGACCTATCAGCCTGACCTGCACACTGTCCAAAGTACTTGAAACAATTCTTGTAAAAGAAACAACATCCTTTCTCTTAGAGAGTGACATCATACCTCCTATACAGCATGGCTTTATGCCAAAAAGGTCTACTACAACAAATCTTCTCAGCTGCCTGAATGACTGGTCTACAAACCTAGACGAAGGCAAGCCAATCGACGTCATATATCTCGACTTTCAGAAAGCCTTCGATACAGTACCACACGAGAGACTCTGTTACAAACTGAGCCATTATGGAATAAGAGGCAAGTACCTACAATGGAGCAGCTCCTTTCTTAAGCAAATAACTTTCCATGTTCGAGCAAATGGAACCAGCTCTGATTGGTACCCAGTCGTCAGTGGAGTACCACAAGGATCTGTGCTTGCTTCTCTTTTTTTTTATAGTGTACATCTCTGATCTGTCAAAAACTATTCAAACCAAAGTAGAATCCTTTGCAGATGACAAAAAACTATATGGAAATCCTTTAACACAACTGCATCAACTAAAGGAAGACATGAGCACTGTAGAAGAATGGACAACCACATGGCAGCTAAAACTAAATGAGAAAAAGTGTACAGTTTTACACATAGGACGAAATAACCCTAGATTCAAATACCAAATAAATAGCGTCGAACTCAGAAAAGTCACAGAAAAGAAAGACCTAGGAGTCTATGTTACCGATGATCTGAAATGGGAAACCCATATATCCCACACAGTAAAAAAGGCCAATCAACTAATATACCTTATGAGACAAGCTTTTGAAAATCAAACTATAAAAATGTGAAAAAAACTCTACACCACTTACATTAGACCAAAAGTAGAATATGGCCACACAGTTTGGTCTCCTTACTACATCAAAGACATTACTACTCTACAGACCTAAAACTGGAAGATATGTTCGAAATAAATCCAAACTTAAACCTCAGAGGACACCACCAAAAACTGAAAAAAGAGAGAACTGTTCTTCTGGGAAGGAAACACTTTTTAACCGAGTTTTTAACCAATCGCGTAGTCTATAAATGGAATTCCCTAAGCTCAGAAACGATAAGCGCGCCAAACAAAAACATTTTCAAAAATAGACTAGACCACAATCTTTGTGCCATAAACACATTAGTGCATTATTTTTAAAGAAGTACCAAAAACAAAAAACTAATAGAGAAAAATCAAAAGCGATGGACTCATCGGTCTTACGCAGCTTTCCATTGCCAAGAACATAATAATAATAATAATAATAATAATAATAATAATAATAATAATAATAAATGTTTATCCATGCTGGCAGACGCACTATAACAACCGCGGAATTCCAAATCAAGGGGACAGTGATAAAAAGCCAACACACAGCCAAATACCTCGGAGTCTATCTCGATAATGACCTTAGAATGACAGCACACATCAACAAAATAGCTGATAAAGCAAACTACATGACAAATTTATTGATGAGAGTGATGCCCAAAGTCATGCTCAGGAGCAAACAAGAGGAGATTCCTAAAAAACGCAGTAATATCAGCCGCACTTTATGCGGCACCAATCTGGGATACAGCCTTAAAATATAAAAAGTATAAAAACAGGCTTGAGAGAACCATATCTACAACAGCCGTACTCGCAATTGCAGGACAACCCCCGATAGACCTTCTAGCTCAAGAGAGGACCGACCTTCACATACACGGAAGAGCTTATAAAAATGAAGCAAAAATTAAACTTTTTGATGCATGGCAGAACAGAAATCGATTACTTCTTTATGCAAGCACTAACTGGACATGGCACCTTCAGAAGTTACCTTAAGGAAATCAAAAAGCAGGAACACCACACATGCTGGTTCTGTCAAGAACGTGACACGCCAGAACATACTCTTTTCTACTGCGAACATTTTGAAGAGAACAGAAAAACAGTGAATCAAAAATGCGACGAGAGAATAACCAAAGAAAATGCAGCAGAACTGCTGCTGCAGAGCGAGAGGAAGTGGAATGCTATAAGAGAAAGGTGCCAAGACATCATGAAGATAAAGACAGGAGAGGAAAGGGAGAGAGAGCAAAGACACAAAGAACGAAAAATAGGGGAGTTTTTTAGTTGGTAGGCAAGGAGGAAGCTCTTCCTTGAATCCAATTAAGTTCCCGCCACCACCACAGGCCGGGTGTCTTTTGAAGATTGTCCTCCCCGAAAAAAGGAAAAAAAAAAAGGGTTAGCAGGTACGGGTTTTGTTGAACCCTAGGTTTTTTAGGTTTTTTTAAAAAACCTATTTCTTAAAAAATGTGCATTTTGAATTTTCTTTTTTTTTTAAAAAAAAAGACTCACCACCACACTTTTTACCTAATATTGTTACCTACTTCTTTCCAGAATTCTATATCCATGTTTTATTTATCAGTTTAGCTATGATAATGTGAATAATTTAACATACCTACATCACTAATAATGTGCAGCGACTGTTACATACTAAAAAAAACCTAAAAAAACTAGGTTTAAAAAAACCCGTACCTGCCAACCTCGCTGCCAACCCTAAAGGGGACTATTTAAACCGAGATTTAAACCTTTGTTAATATTTACATTGCATTGATAATTATTGTAATGTAATAGGATCAAATATAAGTATAGCAACCTTTCAGGGATCAGTGCCACACAAGGTTCAGTACATATCTGGGAAACAACCTGGTAGATTAAATAAAACTCTAATAGTATTTTGTGTGTTTGATTTCCTCCCTATAAGGTACACAATTTCACAAACTACTTTCCAAGTATTATTAAATTCCACCTGATTAATTCCCAGACATGTACTTTCTCTATTTCAGAAATGTAGCTATTGTTGCGGTTGCGGTCATCCGGAATAGCAGAGACTTTTGAATTCATGACCATCGACATGCCCTTGCCAACTATGGACAACATTTGTCCAACCCCTTGGGCTGGTTTATTAACGTTCACAATATTGTACATTGGGGCAGTACGCAAATGTCAGGTCCAATTAGCTTCTTCTGCACTTTGAATGGTCTGGTTATTCCTCAATAATAGAGATTCTGCAGGTAACACTCTTCCCTGGAATTCAATCAAATTATCTGCAAATTTGAGGTCCCAACGCCCAGTTTCTTCTAATGCAGTGGTACAGGCGAAAAAACGCCCAGCAAATTGCAGCGTTTTCGCATGCGGTCTCCTGCACTAACCCTAGCGTGTTCACCCATCGCTTTCATTAGTTGGAAAATTTCCTTTTGTTTATCAGACAATCCCGTCATAATGCAAAGTTCTGGCAGCAAAACAACCAACTCTGGCATGCCTGCGCGGATTTCACGAGCCTTAGACTTTGATACCAATAAGGACTGATCATTGTGTTGAATTTTCACCTGATATCTCTCTTGGAAATATTTCCTATACGAAATCTGTAACCCATCACGTTTCGTAAATACGTTGCAAAATACTCTTAGAGTTTTATTTAATCTACCAGGTTGTTTTCCAGACATGTACTTTTTCTATTTCAGAAATGTAGCTATTGTTGCGGTCATCTGGAATAGCAAAGACTTTTGAATTGATAACCATCAATATTCCTTTGCCAACTATGGACAACATTTGTCCAACCCCTTGGGCTAGTTTATCAACGTTCACAATATTGTACATTGGGGCAGTACGCAAATTTCGGGTCTAATCAGCTTCTTCTCCACTTTGAATGAGCTGGTTATTCCTCAATAAAAGAGATTCTGCAGGTAACACTCTTCCATGGAATTCAATCAAATTATCTGCAAGTTTGAGGCCCCAACGCCCAATTTCTCCTAATGCAGTGGTACAGGCGCAAAAACGCCCAGCAAATTGAAAGCGTTTTCGTATGCGGTATCCTGCACTAACTCTAGTGTGTTCACCCATCGCCTTCATCAATTGGAAACTTTCTCTTTGCTTATCTGACAATCCTGTCATAATGCAAAGTTCTGGCAGCAAAACAACCAACTCTGGCATGCCTGCGCGGATTTCACGAGCCTTAGATTTTGATACCAATAATGGCTGATCATTGTGTTGAATTTTCACTTGGTATCTTTCTTGGAAATATTTCCTGTACGAAATCTGTGACCCATCACGTTTTGTAAATACGTTGCAAAATACTCTTAGAGTTTTATTTAATCTACCAGGTTGTTTTCCAGACATGTACTTTTTCTATTTCAGAAATGTAGCTATTGTTGCGGTCATCTGGAATAGCAAAGACTTTGGAATTGATGACCATCGACATTCCTTTGCCAACTATGGACAACATTTGTCCAACCCCTTGGGCTAGTTTATCAACGTTCACAATATTGTACATGGGGGCAGCACGCAAATTTCGGGTCCAATCAGCTTCTCCACTTTGAATGGGCTGGTTATTCCTCAATAAAAGAGATTCTGCAGGTAACACTCTTCCCTGGAATTCAATCAAATTATCTGCAAGTTTGAGGTCCCAACGCCCAATTTCATCTAATGCAGTGGTACAGGCGCAAAAACGCCCAGCAAATTGCAAACGTTTTCGCATGCGGTATCCTGCACTAACCCTAGTGTGTTCACCCATCGCGTTCATCAATTGGAAATTTTCTCTTTGCTTATCTGACAATCCTGTTATAATGCAAAGTTCTGGCACCAAGACAACCAACTCTGGCATGCCTGCGCGGATTTCACGAGCCTTAGATTTTGATACCAATAATGGCTGATCATTGTGTTGAATTTTCCATCTTTCTTGGAAATATTTCCTATACGGAATCTGTGACCCATCACGTTTTGTAAATACGTTGCAAAATACTCTTAGAGTTTTATTTAATCTACCAGGTTGTTTTCCAGACATGTACTGAACCTTGTGTGGCACTGATCCCTGAAATGTTGCTATACCTATATACTTATAGTTGATCCTATTATATTACTATCAATGCAATGTAAATACTAAGAAAGATTTAAATAGTCCCATTTAGGGTTGGCAGTGAGGTTCGCACGTACGATTTTCTTCAAACCTACGCTTTTTAGGTTTTTTTTAGTACATAACAGTCGTAGCACATTATTAGTGATGTAGGTATGTTAAATTAGTCACATAATCATAGCTAAACCGATAAATAAAACATGGATATAGAATTCTGGAAAGAAGTAGGTAACAATATTAGGTAAAAAATCAACCTAACCTCACTTTGAATGTTTGTTTACTTTTTTCTCAAATTAAAAATTTTCCTTTTTTAATGTTATTTTAGTTGAAAAATTACAACGAGTGATTATTGTGGTCCCTTCAGTCGGTCGTAAACTGAGTGTTGTGTAAAATTGCCATTATTTTTTTGTTTTTATTGAAGAATCACAAGATAACCACAAAATGGCTGGTTCATGTAACGAATGCTCCATAAAGTGCATTTTTAAGGAACCTAAGACCACTGGAGAAGTTTTTGGCTACCCATGTGATTTTTGCAAAAAGGTATTATGCAGGGGTTGTAGTGGTATTAGTTCTACTGAGATACGATATCTAATCTTGGCCACTCGCATTGTTCCATACCTGTGCAAGGATTGTATACCCGGAATTAGAAAAGCATTGAGCCTTGACAGCAGAGTCCAGGCACTAGAAGATACTTTAAGTGAAGTTCAAATTGCTAACACTCAGAAAATAGATGAGTTCGATATCCAGATTAAGGCGATAACTGAGGAAGTCAAGAGTTTGAAAACTAGCTTTTTGGCCTCCCTAGAAGATATTAAAAATGACCTTACCATTATAAAAACCACTACATCTACTTCAACTAAGGAGAAAGACAGCGGAAACAGTGCATTGGTGCACGGTAATGTAATGCACGAGGTCTCTGAGAGACAAAGAAGATCTTGTAACCTGATGGCATTCAATTTGCCTCAAATCAATGAGGCTGAAGATATCTCTAAGACAAAGGATATGCTTCAAGGCCTCACAGGCTCTACTTTAAATATCGTTAGCTCAACTAGAATTGGAAAGCGTAATAAAAATGGACATCAAGCACTTCGTCTAACTTTAGAGTCTCCCGAAGTAGTCCGTTCGATATTAAGAAACAAGCGGAAACTGGACAGAAGCTTGAAAATATTTCTTGAGGCTGATTTGACCACAGAGCAACGAGCAGAGGTGAATGTTTTGAGGGATGAACTCAAGGAGAGACAACGAAATGGCGAAGATGATCTCATTCTGAAATATGTAAATGGAGTACCTAAATTGATAACAAAAAACTAAAAAGGCTTGCCAAAGTAAGACCGGAAAGCACCTCTTTGCTAATATATTTCCAAAATGTCAGAGGCTTACGTACAAAACTTCAACTTCTTTATGAAAATACCTCTTATTGTCAATATGATGTTTTAGTCTTTAATGAAACCTGGTTAACTGGCGATATTAATGATGCTGAACTACAAATGTTTGATTACAACATATATCGAAAGGACAGATCATCAGATACAAGTACTTTTTCTAGAGGAGGTGGGGTACTAATAGCTGTCCGTAAAACCATAACCAGCACAGTTTTATCAGCTACCATAAATATTGAGCAATTGTTTGTTAAAGTCCAGAGTGGTAACAACAATTTTATCTTTGCAACAGCCTATTTCCCACCCCGAAGTACACCTGAAAAGTATGTGGAGTTTAGTGAGAGTGTTGAGAATCTATCCGAAAAGTATCCAGAACACAAACTGTGTATCCTGGGAGATTTTAATCTTCCAAACTGTCAGTGGCATAATGATGGATTATCTTCAGTTGCTGCTCCTATGGCGGCAGTTCCACCTAACGAAGTTGAATCCGTACAAGTTCTTTCATTTTTATGTTCATACCATAACCTATATCAACTTAACTCAGTTAGAAATGTTAACAACAATTTACTTGATCTGGTTTTTATGCAGGATGGTGACACTGAGATATTTATAGCAGAAAATGCCTTACTTCCAGAAGATATTCATCATCCACCACTGTCGTTTGAGGTCGAATATGAATCAAATTGTTTCAACAACTCTGGATTGACTGGAGATGGCTATTATAGGGATTTTAAGTCGATGAATGTTCAAGAAGTATCAAGTTTCCTTTCCCTGTTTAACTGGGATGATTTATTCAAGAACAAATCTCTTGAGGATATGGTTAATATTTTACGACATTGTCTACCTAACTATTGATATTTTTGTTCCTTTGAGAAAGTATTCAGCAAAGAAGTTTCCTATTTGGTTTTCTCCAGAACTAAAACAAACGATAATTGAAAAAAAAAAATTGCATAAAAAATATCGTAAAAGTAGATCACTAGATGACTATAATCAGTTTTCTTTGTTACGGGCTCACTGCAAACACCTAAAAAAAGAATGTTATCGAAGTTATGTTGCTTTAACTGAATCGTCTCTTAGAGATAATGTAAAGAATTTCTGGAAATTTGTTAACAGCAGAAAAGCCAAAAATAATATACCTTCTGTAATGCGGTATGATGGTGTTACTAGTTCATCTGGAGTTGGGATTGTCAATTTGTTTGCTGAATACTTTTCAAAAACTTATAGTGATAAAGACTGTGTATTGCAGGACATTCTGCCTTCTGGGCACATCAATCTGTCGGAATATAACATACCCATCTCATCTATCTATGAAAAACTATCCAAATTGGATATTAACAAGGGACCAGGACCTGATGGCCTCCCACCATCACTTATCAAGCACTGTAGCTTCTTGTTCTCTAGACCTCTTTTCCATATCTTTAACCTCTCTTTAAAGACCGGGACATTCCCAGCCTATTGGAAAACAAGCTTTATTACTCCCATATTGAAGTCTGGAGATAGTTCACAGGTTAATAACTATCGGCCCATCAGTATATTAAGTTGTATCCCTAAAGTGTTTGAGAGTCTAGTTTGTGATTATTTGTCTGCTAGTTTAAAAGGCTGTTTCATCGATCAACAGTTTGGATTCATTTCTCATCGCTCCACAGAACTTAATCTTTTAACATTTACTGACTATCTCTTGGAATCCTTGGAGGGGGGTTATCAAGTTCATGCTGTGTACACTGATTTTGCAAAGGCGTTTGATCGGGTTAACCATAGAGTTTTGATTAATAAGTTGCAGAGTCTGGGAATTCAGGGTGTCCTTCTGGAATGGCTTTCATCTTACCTTAATGAAAGAACACAGATGGTACGTATTCAGGGATTCCAATCAATAGAAATTAAAGTACCATCGGGCGTACCCCAGGGTTCACACCTGGGCCCTCTTCTTTTTAATTTATATGTGAATGATATTGCATCCTCTTTTCTCTTTTCCTTCTTCCTAATGTTTGCAGATGACTTAAAACTATACACAAAAATCAAGAATAATGCTGATTGCCTAGAACTGCAAGCCGACTTAGATCGTCTCAGCAACTGGTGTGAAATTAATGGTATGGAACTTAATGTTCAGAAGTGCCATCTGATGGTCTTCAGTCGTAGCAGGAATCCCACAGAACAAGTCTACACTATAAATGGTTGCCCTCTGGAATCTGTATGTCAAATCAAAGATCTAGGTGTAGTCCTTGATTCCAACTTATCTTACATATCCCATATTTCAATGGCAGTATCAAAGTCACTTCAAATCTTGGGTTTTATTAAAAGGTGCGCTAAAGATTTTCTTAATATAGCATCCATCAAAATATTATTCTGTTCTCTTGTGAGGCCTCATCTAGATTACTGTTCTTGTGTATGGTCTCCCCACTACAACGTCCATATCCAGGCTATTGAGAGAGTCCAACATAAATTCTTGAGATTTATTTCATTTAAGGAACGCCATGAAGTTGAAGATATTAATTACTCAAGGGTTGAAAGTTCCCTTAATATCACTACTCTTCAAATCAGACGCATGCACAAGGATCTTACCATATTTTATAATCTACTGCACTCATACAGCTTTGGTCCAGAGCTACTGGCAAAAGTCAATATCCATGTCCCTTCTAGACAAACAAGGCTAAATCAGCCGTTCCAAATTGGACACCATCGTACTAACTACGGATATAATTCTTTTCTATCAAGATCGGCTAGATTTGCTAATCAGTATTCTAACAGGTTGGACTGTTTTGATAATCAAAAAGTTTTTAAATCCCAGCTTAAGTCCTGTACTCTGTGATATTTTAATGTCCCAAAGAATGGTTATAATTAGGGAAGAGAAAGGGAGAAAAAAAAAAAAAGAAAAAAAAAGGAAAGAAAGAAAAAAAAAAAAAAAAAAAAAAAAAAAAAAAAAAAAAAAAAAAAAAAAAAAAAAAAAAAAAAAGAAAAGTTTTAAGTTTTTTTTTTTTTTTTTTTTTTTTTTAAAGTATTTTGTGGTTTTTACCCGAGTATTTACCTTATGTTTTATGTTAATTTATTGATATATATTTTTTAATATGTTACTGTTTATTGTTTTCTTATGTTTTGATATTCTAGGTGATAGGTTAGGTTAAGATTCTCACTTGTTAATTATACTTGTCTTTTAATTGGGCAATAATTGCTCGTTGATAAATAAATAAATAAATAAATAAATAAATAAATAAATAAATAAAAAGTGTGGTGGTGAGTCTTTTTTTTTTTTTTTAAAGAAAAACCTAAAATGCACATTTTTTAAGAAATAGGTTTTTTGAAAAAACCTAATAAACCTAGGTTAAAAAAACAACCCGTACCTGCCAACCCTAAATGGGACTATTTAAACCTTTCTTAGTATTTACATTGCATTGATAGTAATATAATAGGATCAACTATAAGTATATAGGTATAGTAACATTTCAGGGATCAGTGCCACACAAGGTTCAGTACATGTCTGGAAAACAACCTGGTAGATTAAAGAAAACTCTAAGAGTATTTTTCAACGTATTTACAAAACGTGATGGGTCACAGATTTCATACAGAAAATATTTCCAAGAAAGATACCAAGTAAAAATTCAACATAATGATCAGCCATTATTGGTATCAAAATCTAAGGCTCGTGAAATCCGCGCAGGCATGCCAGAGTTGGTTGTTTTGCTGCCAGAACTTTGCATTATAACAGGATTGTCGGATAAGCAGAGAGAAAATTTCCAATTGATGAAGGCGATGGGTGAACACACTAGAATTAGTGCAGGATACCGCACACGAAAACGCTTGCAATTTGCTGGGCGTTTTTGCGCCGGTACCACTGCATTAGAAGAAATTGGGCGTTGGGGCCTCAAACTTGCAGATAATTTGATTGAATTCCATGGAAGAGTGTTACCTGCAGAATCTCTTTTATTGAGGAATAACTAGCCCATTCAAAGTGGAGAAGAAGCTGATTGGACCCGAAATTTGCGTACTGCCCCCATGTACAATATTGTGAACGTTGATAAACTAGCCCAAGGGGTTGGACAAATGTTGTCCATAGTTGGCAAGGGCATGTCTATGGTCATCAATTCCAAAGTCTTTGCTATTTCAGATGAACGCAACAATAGCTACATTTCTGAAATAGAAAAAGTACATGTCTGGAAAACAACCTGGTAGATTAAATAAAACTTGAAAAGTTGTTTGTGAAATTGTGTACCTTATAGGGAGGAAATCAAACGCACAGGCCTGTACTGAACCTTGTGTGGTACTGATCCCTGAAGGGTTGCTATACCTATATTTCATATTTAATCCTATTATATTACCAATAATTATCAATGCAATGTAAATACTAACAAAGATTTGAATAGTCGCATTTAGGGTTGGCAGGTACCCCCTCCAAGGAGCAGTGAGACCTTGCTGTTGGTGGAGGGGCACAGCGACTGACCGTGCATTTGACTGGTCAGTCGCTGCTAAGGACAGCTCAACCTCAGAGAGTCTAACTCTAGACATGGGCATGGCAAACCCGAGGGACCCCAGCTGGGCTCTCACCCTCTTCTCGGGGTGATCCCTTACCCTATCACCTACAACCTGATACCCGCCCCCTCCCACCTCACATCCTCCCCCTCCCACCTCACATCCTCCCCCTCCCACCTCACATCCTCCCCAACGCTATTAGGCAACAAGGGCTAGGGAAATCCCTACATATCCAGAAACAATCCCAAAACCAAAACACGCTGAAATGGAAGGACAACATAAGGAAACTATACACCAGGAGCATAAGGAGGAAAGCCGAGAATCCCTCGCTGCTTATGCAGTCTGCCACACGGATTCTGGGGGGGCAACCAACCACTTAAGCAAAATGTGGCAGAGCAAGCAACGAGGAGGAACTGTTCCAATCCGATTGATGCCACACCGGCGGGAAAGGAAGATAGCGCGGCTTATGAGAGCGATATCGAAATAATAGAATCCGAGATAGACCCGCCCGTACGCCGGAGCTCAATCCAGAAGACTAAGACAGAAGAGTGGTCTGTCCACTTAGGGAGACGGGGTTCCTTAGCGAGATCGCCACCCCAAAACAGAGGCCAAAACCGACCGCTATTCGACGCACCGACAACAGGAAAAAGCTCAGAGGAGAAAGAGAACATGTAAGCTGGAAGCGGAGATAAGGAATCCGCCAAAAACAAGCAAACAAGGCCGCCAGCGAGAGCGAGAACCTCCTCGCTACCAGAAGTACCAACTAACATATTCACACTTCTTGGAGAAGAGGAACAGCCAATGAAAGAACAACGAGCTAGACAGGAAGCCACAGTGAAAAGAAAACTCCAAGACGACGGCTCTACTAATACGGAGGAAACAAACCTAAAAAAAAAAGAAAACCCGGAGTACAGGACTATCAGAGAGACACTGGACGAGATCTCCCGCTTGAGCGCAATCTTGGACTCGTTCATCGAACAAAACACAAAAAAAGGTAGGTATAAAAGACAAGGCGATAAATCTCAAGAAACAAGTCAAAACCGTAAACGGGACCCGAATTGCAGAATAACTACAACAGGGTAGATATGAGAAGGCAGACAACACAAATGATGCTGACATCCACCCCAGCCCAATGAATGATAACCCTCCAGAAAAGAAAACTGAAGAGGATGGAGAGATCTGTCCATCGTGCAAAAAAAAAGAACAACTTATGCCAAAAACGCTCGAGAGATAAATAACCTGGAAGACTGGCTAAGAACCGAAGTTAGAATGGCAGCAAGACCTGTACACCAACACGAAAATCATCATAGGAAACCCACTAGAAATAAAAAGTAGCACGGCGAAAGTAGTGATGATAGAACCTGAAGACCCAGAAATGAAGAGAGCATCCAACAAATGTACAGACGCAGATTGCCGGAGCTGCTAGAAATGCAAACAAACTTCGAAGTATTTGAACAACTAACCAAGTTCAAATACAACAAGACAGAATCACCAATCGCTCAGGAAGTCATTAAAATTCAGCAAGGACAGATACTCCAAGATCTAGGGGAAACTCGAAAAATTGAAGGAGGGGGTTAAGAACGACGACTGGGTCGCAATACACTACGTCAAAAAAATGGAAAATATCCGGCTTAGGAAATTGATTGAAACCATCTTCCACGGAACGAAAACCCACGTTGCAATCTACACAACCAAGCAAAAAAACAGCATCACGGCATCATCCAACAACAAACCTGAGAAAAATAGACAATCATATGCTCTACTCATCAACCCACAGGGAAAAGACTATAAACAACTACTCGGCGAGATAAAAAAGGACCTAGTTGGCGAAAGAGCGAGCCAAGCAATACGAACAGCTAGAGCAACCAAAGAAGGGAAACTGCTGATCACGGTAGACAAAGACAAAGGCGCAATAAAAACCATAGAAGAAACTATCAGAAGAAAGAGCACTGGTATAGACGTGAGGGTCTCTGGACAATCAATAAGCATGGACGCTATACATATAAGAGGCATGGAAGCCATAACAAGTACAGCGGAAATCATAGAGGCTGTAGAAAAAATCACCAGAGCATTAGAAGAAAATAGGTACAAGCTGGGCCGAGCGCAAATAATACCCTAGCAGTTACTCTTATGATAGACAAAGAACACACCGAGAAGCTCACAAAGCAAAGATTCATAAGAATTGGCTTCGTAAGATATCCAATTGAGAAAAGATTAAAAGTTAACCGCTGCCACAGATTCAGGGCACACAACCACATGGCAAGAGACTGTAATGGACCCGACAGATCCAAAATGTGCTACGAATGCGGAGAAGCAGGACACACAACAAAAGAATGCGAAAACCAAGAGAAATGCCCACTATGCGAGGAAACTGGACACACATCTGGAGCTGCAAGGTGCAAACTATACCGAAGGGCACTGTCAATCTGCCGAAAGGAAGCCCGCCATAACATACAAAGGCTGGAGACAAGGAACGACAAGCAAGAGGAAGAAGAGAAAGAAGCAGAAACAAGCTTCTCAGACCATCTACAAGACACATAATAAAACTGGCATACAACAATGACAACGGGACCACAAAATGCATAATCAATCTAAACAGATGCAAGGCAGCACATAACCGACTCTACAAATATAGTACAGAAGAACAAATCGACATCATAATCGGACATGAGCAAAACAAAAAACTAGACATTCTGTGACCCAAACCTCGACTGCTTCATAATACAGGTCAAAAAGGAAATGATTATCGGCGGAGATCTGAAAGCCAAGACAGGCGTAATCGGCTCCAGTGTGACAGATCAGAGGGGAAGGGCCTTGGAGGACTGGATAGCAAGCCTTGGACTAATAACCCTAAACAACGGAAACGTGCCAACCTTCGTATCCCCACAGGGCAGCTCATTGATAGACTTTACTTTGGCAACACAAGGAATAAGCCGGCAAATGGACAACTGGCAGGTAATGGAGGGAGTAGAGAACCTAAGTGACCATCAAACTATCAGCTTTGACATAACAAACAAAGCCCTAAGGGCTAATCACGGCTACACCATAGACAGCGGATGGAAGTTCGCTCCCCAAGAACTTCTGCGATTTGAAGAAACATCAAAAAATATGTTCAACGAAACAGAGAGAGCAGACCCTGAGTCCCTAATAGAGATCCCGTCAAAAAGGTGTGACATACACTTCTGGAAAAGCAAAAAGCACAGCAACCTGCGAGCACCAGTATACTGGTGGAACGCAGAGATTGGAGAAAAGAGGAATGAATGTATGCACCTTAGAAGAAGACTAACACGAATCAGGGAAAGACCCAATACAGACGGAACAGTAAACGAAGCGCAGCAACAATACAAGAAGGCAAAACAGGAACTTAACAAACTCATAAATAGCAGTAAGAAAAACAAATGGAAATAATTCTGCGAAGAACTAGAAGAGAACATATGGGGAAAGGCATACCAGATTGCGGTTAAAAAAATGAAACTAAAACAGAGAAGGACCATAGACGAGGTAACCATCAAAACCCAAATCAAGAAGCTTTTTCCAAGAAGCCCAGAACTTCAATGGTAATACCAACCAGTAGCCCGAGAACAGATCCCACCCTTCACCTTGGAAGAACTAAACACAGCCCTAACAAAAATGAAGGTCAAGAACTCACCAGTCCCAGACAACCTGATTCCAGAAATTATATTAATGAGTGCAAAGAACAACCCCGAATTCTCGCTAAAGACATATAACGGATTCCTGGAGGAAGGAAACTTCCCAGTGTGCTGGAAAATAGGCCGTCTAGTACTGATAGAGAAACCCAAAAAAGACCAATCTGAAGTGTCTTATCGAGCCCTATGTCTTCTGGATACTTGCGGGAAACTGCTGGAGCTGCTTATCAAAGGTAGACTGGAGGAAGAGATGCACAGAAAGGGCCTAATCCACGAAAACCAGCATGGATTCATGAAGGGAAGATCGATCCTGGACGCCCTAAAGAAAGTTCAGAGAATAGCTGAAGACATTAAAGAGAAAGCATACCAACACAGAGACTTTTGCTTGATGATCCTGCTCAATATCCAGAACGCCTTCAACTCGGCCCCCTGGGAACTAATAATAAACGCCTTGGAGGAAGTTAGAGTAAGCAGCTACCTAATAAATATAATCAAATCGTACCTACTTGAAAGGCCAAAAAATAACCATCAACGGAAACACCTCTAACCTGCGAAGCACCTCAGGAATCCATTCTGGGGCCTATAGTCTGGAACGCACTTTACGATAGGGTACTGAGACTAGAAATGGAGCAGGGAGTCTCGCTGATTGCTTACGCGGACGACTTGGCAATCCTGGTCAGAGCCAAAACCAAAGCGCAGCAAAACTATATGGAAATCCTTTAACACAACTGCATCAACTAAAAGAAGACATGAGCACTGTAGAAGAATGGAACAACCACATGGCAGCTAAAACTAAATGAGAAAAAGTGTACAGTTTTACACATAGGACGAAATAACCCTAGATGATCTGAAATGGGAAACCCATATATCCCACACAGTAAAAAAGGCCAATCAACTAATATACCTTATGAGACAAGCTTTTGAAAATCAAACTGTAAAAATGTAAAAAAAACTGTACACCACTTACATTAGACCAAAAGTAGAATATGGCCACACAGTTTGGTCTCCTTACTACATCAAAGACATTACTACTCTACAGACCTAAAACTGGAAGATATGTTCGAAATAAATCCAAACTTAAACCTCAGAGGACACCACCAAAAACTGAAAAAAGAGGGAACTGTTCTTCTGGGAAGGAAACACTTTTTAACCGAGTTTTTAACCAATCGCGTGGTCTATAAATGGAATTCCCTAAGCTCAGAAACGATAAGCGCGCCAAACAAAAACATTTTCAAAAATAGACTAGACGACAATCTTTGTGCCATAAACAACACATTAGTCCATTATTTTTAAAGAAGTACCAAAAACAAAAAACTAATAGAGAAAAATCAAAAGCGATGGACTTATCGGTCTTACGCCGCTTTCCATTGCCAAGAACATAATAATAATAATAATAATAATAATAAATGTTCATCCATGCTGGCAGAGGCACTATAACAACCGCGGAATTCCAAATCAAGGGGACAGTGATAAAAAGCCAACACACGGCCAAATACCTCGGAGTCTATTTCGATAATGACCTTAAAATGACAGCACACATCAACAAAATAGCTGATAAAGCAAACTACATGACAAATTTATTGATGAGAGTGATGCCCAAAGTCATGCCCAGGAGCAAACAAGAGGAAATTCCTAAAAAACACAGTAATATCCGCCGCACTTTATGCAGCACCCATCTGGTATACAGCCTTAAAATATAAAAAGTATAAAAACAGGCTTGAGAGAACCGTATCTACAACAGCCGTACTCGCAATTGCAGGACAACCCCCGATAGACCTTCTAGCTCAAGAGAGGACCGACCTTCACATACACGGAAGAGCTTATAAAAATGAAGCAAAAATTAAACTTTTTGATGCATGGCAGAACAGAAATCGATTACTTCTTTATGCAAGCACAAACTGGACATGGCACCTTCAGAAGTTACCTTAAGGAAATCGAAAAGCAGGAACACCACACATGCTGGTTCTGTCAAGAACGTGACACGCCAGAACATACTCTTTTCTACTGCGAACATTTTGAAGAGAACAGAGAAACAGTGAATGAAAAATGCGACGAGAGAATAACCAAAGAAAATGCAGCAGAACTGCTGCTGCAGAGCGAGAGGAAGTGGAATGCTATAAGAGAAATGTGCCAAGACATCATGAAGATAAAGACAGGAGAGGAAAGGGAGAGAGAGCAAAGACACAAAGAACGAAAAATAGGGGAGTTTTTTAGTTGGTAGGCAAGGAGGAAGCTCTTCCTTGAATCCAATTAAGTTCCCGCCACCACCACAGGCCGGGTGTCTTTTGAAGATTGTCCTCCCCGAAAAAAGGAAAAAAAAAAGGGTTAGAGAACAGAGAAACAGTAATTCAAAAATACGACGAGAGAATAACCAAAGAAAATGTAGCAGAACTGCTGCTGCAGAGCGACAGCAAGTGGAATGCTGTAAGAGAAATGTGACAAGACATCATGAAGATAAAGACAGGAGAGGCAAGAGAAAGAGAGCAAAGACACAAATAATGAAAAAGATGGGAGTTTTTTAGTTGGTGGGCAAGGAGGAAGCTCCTTCTTGAATCCAACTTTACCCGGGCCATAGAAGAACAGGCCAATAAACACATAAGTTCCCGCCACCACCACCGGCCGGGTGTCTTTTGAAGATTGTCCTCCCCGAAAAAAAGAAAAAAAAAAGCATTGGCAGGTACGGGTTTTGTTAAAACCTAGGTTTCTTAGGTTTTTTTAAAAAACCTATTTCTTAAAAAATTTGCATTTTAGGTTTTTCTTTTTTTTTTTTTTAAAAAAAAAGACTCACCACCACACTTTTCACCTTATATTGTTATTGTTACCTACTTCTTTCCAGAATTTTATATCCATATTTTATTTATCAGTTTAGCTATGATTATGTGAATAATTTAACATACCTGCATCACTAATAATGTGCAGTGACTGTTACATACTAAAAAAAACCTAAAAAACCTAGGTTTAAAAAAACCCGTACCTGCCAACCCTAAATGGGACTATTTAAAGCTTTGTTAGTAATTACATTGCATTAATAAATCTTGTAATGTAATAGGATCAAATATAAGCACATAGGTATAGCAACCTTTCAGGGATCAGTGTCACACAAGGTTCAGTACATGCCTGGAAAACAACATGGTAGATTAAATAAAACTCTAAGAGTATTTTGCAAAGTATCTACAAAACGTGATGGGTCACAGATTTCGTATACGAAATATTTCCAAGAGAGATATCAGGTGAAAATTCAACACAATGATCAGCCATTATTGGTATCAAAGTCCAAGGCTTGTGAAATCCGTGCAGGCATGCCAGAGTTGGTTGTTTTGCTGCCAGAACTTTGCATTATGACAGGATTTTCAGATAAACAGGGGGAAAATTTCCAACTGATGAAGGCAATGGGTGAACACACTAGGGTTAGTGCAGGAGACCGCATGCGAAAACGCTTGCAATTTGCTGGGCGTTTTAGCGCCTGTACCACTGCATTAGAAGAAATTTGGCATTGGGACCTCAAACTTGCAGATAATTTGATTGAATTCCAGGGAAGAGTGTTATCTGCAGAATCTCTTTTATTGAGGAATAACCAGCCCATCCAAAGTGGAGATGAAGCTGATTGGACACGAAATTTGCTTACTGCCCCAATGTACAATATTGTGAACGTTGATAAACTAGCCCAAGGGGTTGGACAAATGTTGTCCATAGTTGGCAAGGGCATGTCGATGGTAATCAATTCCAAAGTCTTTGCTATTTCAGATGAACGCAACAATAGCTACATTTCTGAAATAGAAAAAGTACATGTCTGGAAAACAACCTGGTAGATTAAATAAAACTTGAAAAGTAGTTTGTGAAATTGTGTACCTTATAGGAAGGGAATCAAACACACAAAATACTCTTAGAGTTTTATTCAATCTACCAGGTTGTTTCCCAGACATGTACTGAACTTTTTGTGGCACTGATCCCTGAAAGGTTGCTATACCTATATATTTATATTTAATTAATATAATAATTAACAATGTTATGTAAATACTAACAAAAGTTTAAATAGTCCCATTTGGGGTTGGCAGGTACAGGTTTTTTTTTGAAACATAGATTTTCAGGTTTTTTTATAAAACCTATTTTTCTTTTTTTTTTTAAAAAGACACCACCACACTTTTTATCTAATATTGTTACCTACTTCTTTCCAGAATTCTATATCCATGTTTTATTATCAGTTTAGCTATGATTATTTGAATAATTTACCATCACTAATTATGAAAAAACCTTACCTGAAATTATTTTTTCTAAATCGTAGGTTCTTTTCCAACCCTGCATCACATTTCAAAAGCTTCGCATATTTTTAACAATTCACCAAATGCAATAGAAAATCATGGCTTTAAAAAATGTGTGACAAAAAATGATAAAAATTTATCTAGAAAATATAAGGCAGTTAAGTTAGATATACTATTTGTTCAGCTTTGGTTAAGTGAACTAGCTTAAAGCACTATTGTTTTATAGTTTAGTACTTCATTTTATGTCATGTACACCACACTAAACAGTCAAGTTTTCCTTTTTTTCAAGTAGTATGTATACACACTGCTATCTATTTTCTTTCGTATGAAACGGGTAAAACTAAAGTGCAAGGATAGTAAAATTAAACTCAAGGCCAAAAAATACTCACAAAAATTTGATATCTTACCTAGTAGCCAGCAAATCTGGAAATATTCCCTTACTATCTGGTATCCACATAATCTTTGTGGTGGGGTATGGATGTTCAAAAGTGTTTTTGGCCACAAACTCGCTGGTTTCTTCATCCAATGAAACAATTTGCACTTTGTTGTTATATTCTTCTACAAAACTTCCCAATGCCAGGCGGAAACGTTTGTCAGGTCTAACTGACCAGTTCATACTGTATAGAGGCCATGGGGCCACATATTTATATATTTCTTTTCGTTTTCCTGGTATGCTACTTCCTGAATGGGACATTTTGATGAAAAATTGGGATTCAAAACACTTGTATCGACCACCAATATCTTTATGCAGGAGGTCTGTAAGACTACTTGGGAAACCTTACACGACCATGTTGAATCAGTCTGTTTGATATTGGATACTTTGAAAGTTATTATCAATTGAACACTGTAGTTATTTATTAAAACTCAACAGCAATTTATTCCTGAATAATAAATATTGCTTGCTTGACAGGCATTGCTCGGCTCGTGACGTAATGACACTTTTCTTCTTTTTCTTTTCTCCACGTGACATAACTGCATGACAGCTGACATATAAGGTTGGATCGGTTCCCATTTCCCATACGTCCGTGTTCCTACTTCACGACACTCGGACCGACGCGAACGCTGCGACGTCGTCTCTACAATGAGTGTGAACAAGACAGCTTGCAATGGTTTTAGGTTACGCTGACACAGGCAATATACACTTACAGAAATCGGCCCACTGCTAATTTTTGATTTCACTTATTGATGAGTTTGCTGGTTGAGTATTTCCAAAATAAATGTACACTACTGAATGAAAGAGCGGACTGCAATAATGAGCTGGTGAAATGCACTAATGACCACTGAGCTGGTGAACTTTGAACTTGATGCTCAATAAAAGAGCGGACTGTATTAATGAACTGGTTAAATGCACTAATAATCTCTGAGCTGGTCAACTTTGAACTTGATGCACAATGAAAATGTGAGTTTGTAACGTAATCGAACTCACTTGTGTATAAGCCGTAGACCGTTAATAGAATTCGGCATAGCCATTCAACTTCAGCTTTATCATGGCGTCGGTCGACTGCGACTGGCGATTGGCAACGCCCAACGCCTCTCGTCTTTCGTGTGTGGTAAACTTCCGTGAAGTTGTGCGCGCGCAGCAGGAACTCAAGGCGCGTTCATCGAGGCGCGCATAAGTTGTATTCCTTTCACACCGAGGAGCTCCGGAACAGCTCCGGGGCGTTACGCGCTTATTCCTTTCGAAAAATGTTTGTTGCACCACGCATCTGTTCCTTTCAAATCGAGGGCGACTAATACTGGAGCGAGTAGCTCGAGTGTTTTATGCCGCTATTCCTGACAAGTTGCATTCCTTTCACACCTAAGAGGAGCTCCGGAACAGCTCCGGGGCGTTACGCGCTTATTAGTTGCATTCCTTTCATGAGTTTGAAACATTCGAGCTAGTCGCTCCGGTGTTTAGTAGCCCCCGATTTGCAGGGAACAGATGCGTGGTGCAACAAACACTTTTCGAGCCGTTTTACACGGCAAAGTTTCTTCACGAAATTACTTACGAAATTATTGCCGAAATATTTCGTAAGTTTACTATTCTTGGTTTCGCTTTTTCCTGTTTGACACGGCAAATAAAAGTCTAGCAAAAGTTTCGTGAAAATATTAGTCATACGCAGACACAGTTACGTTTTGCCATCAATAATATCAAATCATAACCTCATACTTTGATAAACCAAAACAAATAAAACTTCCGTTTTCTAATTGTTGTTGAATCTTTGTACCCTCCTGCAGTTTCATACAGTTGAGTTTGTTTTTTCCTTCCATAAATAAAGTTTGTTTGTTTGTTTTTATTTGCCCAGCTGTTTTTGGGTGCATAACTTTTTTCACCGATGAGCAGTCTATCCTTATCTGTTACATAGGAAATTCAATGACGTTTTCATCGGCTCCACGAAAAAGAAACTGCCTTTCAGTGTGCGCCGAAACACGCATATTTTCGGCCACGCCTACAAAAACTATAGAACATTTTCTAAAGTTTATTCGTGAAATATTTCGTAAGTTTTTCTTGCCGTGTAAAAACAGGAAAAGTTGACTTACGAAATATTTCGGCAACAATTTCGTAAGTAATTTCGTGAAGAAACTTTGCCGTGTAAAACGGCTCTTCGAAAGGAATAAGCGCGTGAAGCCCCGGAGCTGTTCCGGAGCTGCTCCTAGGTGTGAAAGGAATACAACTATTCCTCTCGAAAAGTGTTTGTTGCACTTGGAGTGCGCAAGCCCGACTCAAACCAATAAATGCATGAAAGGCACCGTATCTGTTCCTTTCAAATCGAGGTCGACTAGCACCGGAGCGAGTAGCTCTAGAGTTTTAACCTCTTGAAATGAATACAACTATTGTGTTTGTGCTTCAAGCACGGTGCAGCACAGTGTTCTGTGTTTGAAACGCAAAAAGCTAGCAGCTCTCGAAGCGCAGTACGGCTGGAACACTAACACGCGCTGGAAGCATTTGCGCGCGCAAACGCTCGATTGCGAGCTCAAAATGGTCAGCTGGAAAGCGGCTTCAAACTCTTGAAAGGAATACAACTATAGCGGATGTCAGAATGCGGGTAAAATGAATGCGATCGCTCGCGATATTAAATTGTTTTTCAAATGGCATATTTCTTTTGTCAATCTCATGAATAGTTTCTAAAAAAAAATAGTTGAAGTCGAAGTGGGCCGGATTTCTTTGCACGCAAGTTTATTTTATTTTATGGAGCATTAATTCAGAGCAGATCTAGTGATGTGTTCTAGAGTAAGGCGGCCGTTAATTAAATGTATATCCGAACGAAACGGAACTACTTTTGGAGCGTGTCGAGCACCTGGCTATTGCTGGTTAAACTATTTTCAATTTTCACAAAATTCGGAATGCTAGATTTCGCTCTAGGGTCCAATTTAAAAATTAAAAATAATATTTATATTGCACCAAGTTATCGGTTGCAGTTAGAGCCCCCTTTTTTATGCGACTCGATGCTCAAGGTTGCGTAGTGGCTCAAGTACGACTTGACGCCATATTTGCGTTTCCAAACAGCACGGATGAACGTTGCTCACAACTGTCAAAAATTGGAGCTTGAGCCAAGCACTCGTCTATGAATACCGGGCTTAGGGGCGCGTTCTGTTTAGAAAGTTTATTCGACTGTCGGAGCTTCCCCGCTTGAAGCCTTTCTACGCTGGCTGGGTCTAAGGATAGAACACACTATTACTACTACATATAGCCTATCCTTAGTTGTATTCCTTTCACACTTGGGAGGAGCTCCGGAACAGCTCCGGGGCTTCACGCGCTTATTCCTTTCGAAAAGTGTTTGTTGCGCCACGCATTTGTTTCCGCAAATCGGGGGCGACTAAGCACCGGAGAGAGTAGCTCGAGTGTTTCAGGCTCTTGAAAGGAATACAACTATTATGAGGCCTTTGTAGAACAAATCTGAACACCTCCACCACGCCAAATCACCAGTTGTGACGTAGGCAGCATGTACTTTCACGCCTTGATGTGGGCTGTTTGCATTACAGGTTAAGATTCCGCGGGCTTTTGCTTTATGTATACTTGATTAATATCTTCCTATTTGACTTATTATAATCAAAATTAAATAATATATTTCATCATAAATTTAAATTATAAACTACGACCACTGGTGCAAACAGCTGACGTCACTGACGACTTAGTTAATGACGTCGGCAATGGTGATACACTAATATGGCGGCGATTACCAAAAACGAGGCCGATCCAATCGTTAACACCTTTTCACGTCGCTCCGGCTTAAACTAACCGGGTTACAAAACGGTTAGGGGCGGTATGTCAAGTGATGACATCACTGAAACTGTCACTTGAAAACGAACGGTTAGAAAAATGTTATTTTAAATTCGATTTGTTTGATTTTTCAATATTTTCGCCTAGTGCCGTTGAATCTGACCTACCTATTATGTCTTTTATGGACAAAAATATCTTAAATGTGAGCAATTCACAATTAATTAATATGTGGAGAAATAGGGGAAGCAAGTTTTTTTTCTTCAAAATTGTGGAATTATCCAATATGTCACTCCTTTTTATTGCAGCAAGCTAAAAAGTGAAAAATAAAATAGGTAGTTTAATTTATTTTCGTTCAATGCTTTAGATGTGGACCATGGGTGGATAGACCTACTAGAACCAGTTTATCTGAAGTTTATAAGTTCTCGTTACCTACAGAGTCTACACCAGCCCATCTGAGCCCATCAAGTAGTTAAACTGGGATTGTCTCTGTGGTACATCTTTTGAGTATAATACAGGGTTATTTACGTAGTCCGTGCATTACCAGGTAGATTAGGTGGTATTTATGCTAATCCACCTGCAAACTGAACAATTTCTAATGCACGGGCTACGTAAATCAGGCTGTATACATACGAGGGAAAACGGCTTTCGGGCTTCAAATTCATAAAATATATTAATATATACAAAAGACAACTTTTTATTTAGTTTTTACACTTTATCGAACTTTCCCGCTCTCCGTTGTTTATATTTTTTTCTTCTAACCGCTCGGCGTAACCATATCGCCGAGGCGGTTAGAGAAATTACATACCGTTTTCTAACCCGGTTACAAAGTGACATCTTTGATACTACTCGAATTTGAGTCGTATGCTGCGGTTTGTTGAACCGGAGCCACGTGAAAAGGGCGTTAGTAGGGTGTAAAGCCTAGTACTCATAACTGCGAAATTGGCAAATTCAAAAAAATGCGAATTTCGCAGTTATGAGTACTAGGCTTAATATCTTTGGGCTGGGTCTTGCGTCTATTGTTGTATTCCTTTCACACCTAGGAGGAGCTCCGGAACAGCTCCGGGGCTTCACGCGCTTATTCCTTTCGAAAAGTGTTTGTTCCACCACGCATCTGTTCCCTGCAAATCGGGGGCGACTAAACACCGGAGCGAGTAGCTCAAGTGTTTCAAGCTCTTGAAAGGAATACAACTTCTGGTGCAAGTGTCAAACAGGGAGCACTTTGATTTAAAAAGGCGTTCTTTTTGGGAGTTACTTTGAATGATTATGAAGATTAGCTGGGTCAGTTAAGTTAGCCCCCTCACTGAATTTTTCTAAATGGAACATATCCCATAAATTTGCTCCCATTTTGCTCCACCAATTATAGTTTTTGCTCCACTACAGTGGTGAGACTATAGGTGGGTTCGGCTTGCTCACTCCGTGCACTCCGAGTGACTCCATTCGCACTCCAGCCGTTCGGGTTAAGGTTCGGATATTGCTTTTTACCTTATTAGAGGTGAGTCCATTAGCTCTGTTCACTCCACTCCAACTCCGCGCTGAATAGTCGAACCTAGCTTATGTAGCCTATTACGTAATGGGGGGGGGGGGGGTTGAAGCATCCTGATTCGTTTCTTTGAGAGTTAACTTAAGTTAACTTCTGGAAATACATGTAATTCAAAATGTTAACTACAAGTTAACTGTCAAAGCAGTTTTATAATACCCGCTCTTAAGCCTAGTACATCATTTTTTGACATTGCGTTGACAATTTGACGTTTTATGCGTGTATCAAACGTCAAATTGTCAACGCAATGTCAAAAAAATGCGAATTTCGCAGTTATGAGTACTAGGCTTTAGGGTGGATTTTCATGCATCCGTTTTTCCGACGAAAGATGTCCGAAAAACATTCTATTCTGACATAATCGTATAAAAATATGTCAAAATAGAAGATTTTTCGGACATATTTCGTCGGAAAACGGATGCATGAAAAGTAAGCTTTAGGGAGGATTTTCATGCATCCGTTTTTCCGTCGAAATATGTCCGTTTAACATTCTATTCTGACATATTTATATACGATTATGTCAGAATAGAATGTTAAACGGACATATTTCGACGGAAAAACGGATGCATGAAAATCCTCCCTTATCCGGACGCTGGAGCGCGTACGGAGCGCGCCCAGAGCTAGGAGGAATGAGCTACAGACCTCACAAGAATCTCTTCCAGCCCCCCCCCCCCCCCCCCCCAGTGAAAATTTCAAAGTTTTTTATGCTCAGTTTATTCTTCAGGCTTTGCTTAATTTTGCTCGATGATCGGCGAGTGTTGTTCCATTACCTG